GCCCAGCTTGGTGTTGTCTGCAAACTTACTGAGGGTGCACTCGATCCCCTCATCCAGATCATTGATAAAGATATTGAACAAGACTGGCCCCAGTACTGAGCCCTGGGGAACACCGCTCGTGACCGGCCGCCAAGTGGATTGAACTCCATTCACCACGACTCTCTGGGCCCGGCCGTCCAGCCAGTTTTTGACCCAGCGCAGAGTACACCTGTCTAAGCCGTGAGCCGCCAGCTTCTCTAGGAGAATGCTGTGGGAGACGGTGTCAAAGTCCTTATTGAAGTCCAGGTAGACCACATCCACAGCCTTTCCCTCATCCACTAGGCGGGTCACCTGGTACTAGGCCGGTCACCTGGCCTAAATATTTGTATTATAATAAAGCACAGTGTCTTTGAATTTCACATTATTATATAAGCAATTTTTCCTACCTCTTTGAACAGACAGAATTGACTCCATGAATTTTGATCAGAGCAGAAAACATCCGGATATCAAATCATTAAGGAAAATATTTAAGTGATAGGAATTTTTACTTTGGTAGCTTCATCACAGTTTTAAGGAACTATTCTAGAGAACAGTAAAGTTTACTGCTGCTATTAACCTATATGGTGTAAAGAGAAAATTATATGGCCTAAGTGAAAACAGAAGACACAAGGCCTAACCTTGCATCCTTTGTGAAGGCAAGGAGTGTGAGATCAGGGCTGTTTTGCTTGTGTAAGAATTTAGGATTTCGCCCTTTTTGATATGTTATCCAGTCATAGTCTTCATGACACAAGAAATGGCAGAAACATGAAGAACGTGGCGGGGTCCATGACCAGGGAGTTAAAAATAATGGTGACATTTTCAGTTAGGCTATATAATGTTATCTCCTTAGAGTATGTACTTTTAGTTGTTTGGTTTCGGCATCGTGTCTGAAAATAACTGAACACATTTATTTTCACAGTGAGGGGTCTATTTTCTCCTCAATGCGTGTGCTTTATGCCCATTAGCATTAATGGGAGCTATACACACACTTCCAGGGGAGAGGAGACTTAAATAGTCCATATAGATGTGCTTTTGTGGATCAGTAACCACTGATTTAAAGAATGTGAATTATAAAATGAAATAAAAACCCAAACAAACACACCAAAATCTGATTGTTTCAGTGTGATGGGGTCTTAAACCTATATAACTTAACCAGAGAATATAACCAGTCATTGTAAATACACTTTACTCTCTGTAAGATCTAAATATTCAAACCTTTGCTGGTCTAGTAGTTGAGATATTATTATTGTGATAGTATGCATAATGTATTTTAGCTTTTGTGGTCTTATGGCTTATTTACTGGGCAGCAAGTTTTCTGTATGGTAGAAGTTGATTTTAACAGAACATGGACCACTGACTATAGATTTATTCACATGTCCAGATGATTGATAGTTAGACCTAACTGCATGTCTGTTTTGTAGATATATTTTCTAGAAAGCTTGCTCCCATTGTGCATGCTTCAGTG